ACTTCCAGGTTTTCCATGGTGGTCTAGCTTCAATTGACTCATAATCTCAATCATTGAAATAATAAGAAGTGTTTAAATATAAAAAGAAAAAAGACCAAGTATATCATGAAATGAATAAAACAAGCAGTGCCAAAAATTAGTTTACTTTTCAAAAAAAAAAAAAAAAAAAAACGAAAAGGAGATATACACATAGATTTAACTTTGCTTTGATTTATTACATTATGATTAAATGAATAGTTACTGAAGTGTATATTAACCCGAGTGTAAAATTTGATTTTGTTAAAATCATGAATTGATGCAGATGAGATATTGGTTAAGAGAAACCAAGAAGTATTAGACAGTTGTTTTGTCTTGATATTTATTATATAGATATGTATGTATATTGTTGGTTTGCATTAACTCATCCTGAAGATTATTCTAATTATGCATAAACAATAATTAATATGAATAGTTTGTAGTTTATACCATTGTGTTTTTTCGATTGACTAAGTAAAGTCAAACTTTAGTAGATCAAATAAATATGAAACTGTTTCTAATGATTGATCATTGAGTAGTCATTAATAACATATTGGTTTGATTGTTTTAACACTGATGAAATTCCGTCAGTCAAGTTAAACTATGCCTAATAGTTTGATTTACTCAACATGATGATCATCATTGTTTGGTGTTGACTGGTTGGAAGTAGTCTGCAAGAAACGGTGGTAGACCTAGATTTTGTGCTAGTAAGGGCTCGTTAACGAGTGGTGCCTGGGATCATGAGGAAACTAATGCTTTCTATGGAATTGGTAGAATTCAATTAGAGCTCAAGACTAGATAGATATAACATCGGGCATATCTATCAATAAATCAATTTAAGTTTCTCAGTCTTATATGGGAAATAAAACTCAAGAGTGTCTAACTGATTCATAAAGTTTCATTCTTAGCTATATCCAGTGACAACTGGTTATTATTAATTTAATAGTTTACTTCACGAGCTGAAATTATTTAGATAACTTGGGAAAACAGGGCAACACTGAATAGCTGTTTCGTTTTAGTTCGGAACTGCTTAGCAGTGCTCGTATACTACCCCACCTGAGATTGAACTCAGTACCATCAGGCCTCTCTATAAGTGCTTTACATTCAGTCCACTGAGTTGTCATCCAAAGGTTTATGCTTCCACCAATAATACAGACCATGTGAAAGTGGAGAGGGAAACCGCTGGAATTCAACTCGATGGTCATAAGGTTTTGCCCTCTACATGGAACCCTTATATTCTGGACCTGATCCTGATAAAGTCGTAAATGACGATTTCTGTGGAGCTCGATACCAGAGCAAAATAGCTGCTTACTGCTATTTTGATTTTAATGGCTTTCTAAGTAATGTTAGATTGTGACTCAAACACTGAATTTTACTGAGTCCCATACGTTAATACGATATGTAACTTTAGAAACTTGACAGATAATTTGTAGAAAAACACAAAGTTGGGTTACTCATATCCTATACAACAAAGACAAGCTAACTTACATTGCACTGTTCCAAAACTGTATTGTTTAGTATATATTTAAAATATAGTACATCAATTAAACGTATTCGATTATGGTATGAATGCAATGAGGTTGACCTATTAACTCTGTTTGTTTTTGTAGCATGAACAATACAGAAGGAAAATTTTCATAACCGACTTTTACCATAAACATTATCAATCCTTATCTCATTTACAATGGTTTGAGTGATCTCGTTTTTGGGTATTCTTCAAATGAAAGCCAATGGGTTTGAGTCCTTGTGTGAACATTAACACTGAGTTGGACACAAATCAAGCTGATAAATCTTAAACAGGATGGAATATTGGTTTTTGATTTTACTTTAAGCTATAATCTATCTATAAGCAAAGATGGGTAGTGGCTATCAGTAGAATCCAGGACGCGTGTTTCGTCCTATTCCGGACTCATCAGCTAGATGTACCTACATCTAGTGTGATATTCACTCTAGAACTCGAACCCGGTACCGTTCGCTTCGGATACCATCACGTTATCCACTCAACTACTGAGTCCTGGGTTTGAGTCTCAGAGTGAGCATCAACTCTGAGATGCAGGTATATTCAACTGACGAGTCCAAAACGGGAGGAAATGTGTGTCCTAGATTTCACTGCTAGGCATTATCCATCTTTGCTTATAATGCTTATAAATTAAGTCTATATCGAAACAATACACACAGTATGTATATATGTCAACAAGAGATTGATCAATTAAAGTCCTAAAGAACAATGGGAAAATACAAGCAAACAACACTATGTGTATTTTAACTGTTATATTCTGTGAAAAGTTTTCAGCCATATTTCAATTAATCATTTTTTTATGATCATCTTGCTATCATGAATAGAAAGTTGTATTTATTGCAACATAGATATATATTGTATATGTGTGACCAATTGTCTGATCTAGTTTTAACCAGGCTATAATCAACCATAAATTGGTATAGACCAACCAACAATGGATAGAATAGGTTGATAAGTTAAAATTTATGTATATTTTAGCATGATCAAAATGTTGTATTAGATAGGACACTTAACATAAAATAAAAGTGTAATTAAAAATTTTGTTTTAGGATACGAATTGTGTTAGGGATTTAAGTGAATATCAGGATTAATTGTTGTCTATTGATATCGTATGTTGTATAATGAATAACACAATGATTAATGAAACTGTGATGTGAGCTACTTATATATACATAAGTAGTATAGAACGATAGTGGGATATAGAATGTATTTCAGTGCAAGATTGAGAACAGAAGAACGGGACCGAAGAGCAATTAGTATGAAAAAGCATGAACAATGAAATTTGAGACAATGGATTGATATTTGCAAAAGCAACAGTCGATTTCGAGATAATGGACTGATATTTCGCCAATTAATTATTTACTGTATGATTGTCAGATTTTTAGCGAGATGTTCTGTAATTTTGTACTCAAATACATTCGATTTTCCCCACTTGTGTTCTTGTTCACTACAACACTATTTCTCATTAATATATATTAGCCCAGAGTATTATCTATACAAGTTTTTTTACGATACATTATGTGTCCTGTTAAAGATGACACTCTATGAATAGTGATTAAGTTATCAATGAAAGCTCATATTATGTATATTTTTAAACTGATGTATGTCTATGGTTAGTTAAATTGGCTAGAATTCAGTTCACCAACACTTCTGTTGGAGTTTGAAGACATTTTCTAGATATTTAAACAGCGTGTACCTTCTTTGACATTTGACAATTTAAAACCAATGACTGATATTAGTGAATAGAACATTTTGGATTGTTATGCGTCTACTATTTGATTTTATCTATTCAAGTCATTAGTAGTTATTTATTTTAAACTAACGATTATTTTCAGATATTCATTGTCATTGAAAGATGTGAATAGGATTTCCATCGAACTGGTTTATTTTAATAAACCCTCTTTTGACATCTTTTAAACATAATGAATTCTTCTTTTACATTTATATTGACGTTGCGTATAATGGTAAGGATAATATTCAACCAATCAGAAGCAAGATATTGGTTCTGAAGGTTAGAATAATCGACCAATCATTAAAAAAGAGAGCTCAGCCTGAAGACATGAAGTGTTGAACTTGAAATATCTACTGGAAATAGAACTTTAATTATTGTGATGTATTTATACCACAAACAAAAAGTTCAGTACATATAATATTGTAGGATAAGAGAAAGTACAGTAAAATAAGTTAGAGAATGTAGTGTGACCAATACAGAGAACATTCAAATTTGGAAAGGAGTAATAACATAATAACAATTTTGATGGAGTTCTGTTCTCTGAGCTGGATGGTTTGGTCGTGGAGCTTTCATCGTTCTTCTGAACAACATCATCAGCACAAACTTCAGATAGAAGTGAAGTGTTCAAATTTCTCCACATGTGACCCATAGATTGTTAAGATCCAAGTCAACAGGACAATCTGTAAGTCATATGCGGAGAAATTCGAACACTTCACTTCTACCTGAAGTTTGTAATGATGATGTTGTTCAGAAGAACATTGAAAGAAACATCGATAGAAACCAGTAATTGCTCATATTTGTGTACCTTTTAAATGTATTGCAAATGTACTTCATATTTATTCAAGCTATAAGTTGGCGGTGAAGTACCAATAAACAGTAAAAGTGTAGTGAACAGAAACACAAGTAGGGACAATCGAATGTATTTTAATACATTACAGAATATCTTAGTAAAATTTGAGAACTATACAATAAGTACTTCATTTGCAAAGTGTCACACAGTTGTCTCATACTTGACTGTTCCTTTAGCAAATATCAATCAATCGTCTTAGACTTCATTGTCCTTTCATTTCTACACTAATTATTCTCTGTTCTCATTCTCTTTTTTTGATCTTCTTAACCTTATTTCATCAGGGATTTGACTTTCGATTGATGATACATACTACTTATGTTTGTCCAAATAAGTAGCAAACCACAAAATGTAATGACAACTGATAGAACATTTTCACTTATTCAACTAATCTAATTAAAAAAATCACCTTTTAATCTTAGGATCTTAGTTATCTAAAATGTAACCATAATTTAAATTTATCCCATTGAATAATTAAAAACAATGTTGCATTAACTTAAAGTTTATTAATGTGAGGACAAATTAAGATTGAATGTTGTAAAGTATACAAGATTGATCATATTCTAGATTTCAGTAGTTTGTTTAAGGTCACTAGGATAAAATCCAACTAACAAAACAAAATATCAGAAAGGGTTTTTTTATGGATATTATAGTCGTTTAATAGTTGAATTCATAAGTCAGTTGCTGAGGAGTTCCATACTGGGACGAAACAGCCATCCAGTGCTTACAGGTTTTCTATGTTGGTCTAACTTTATTTGACTCATGAATTCAACTATTAAAATAAAATAACAGTTTGTACTAAGTAATGAAAAATTGAATCGGTCTACTAAACCAGTTCACAAAAAAATTGTATCAGTTAGAATGTTTGTAGAGACTTTCTATGGTTTGTGTTGTAACGCGAAGTGTGACTTCAGGTTTAAATACGCAGCGTTATATCGATCGCTTCTGTGACAGTGACCCGTAAACTTGTAAGGATGACCTAGTGCCCTGATTGGCCCTGCCTCGCTATCTGTCCCCAGCCAGTTGAGTCAAGAACAAAAGTCACAGCCTCGGAGTTATGAATCATTATATTTCAAACATACTTTGTTTATATACTAGTCAAGCAGACCACAACGTACCATAAAATAGAAAATAACATTGTACAATATTGGCCAACAGGAAAATAACACGTTAAATAAATATCGACCAATGCAAAATGTACATTTAAGGTCCAAGGACACCAATGGACTTAACATGATAATTATTGGTCTATTTTTCCCGACTATCCTAACACCTCCCCTTTTTCGAATGATCCGGAGTTCATATCTGCATTTTAAAATTTTCTGGGTTCATCCTCCCCCACGAAATAATGTTGGGTCCTCATCTCTCCAAGTTAAATTTAATTTGACTTTATTTAACACATGATAGTCACATGGAACAGAGAAGTCACTAAAAGTGATTAAGTAGTGTGGACCAACGTCGCTTGATATGAAGTCATCAACCTTTGATTCTTCTGGAACATTACCATAGAATTCCTTGAAAAACTCATTTGTGGATAGTCGATCACTGGGATAATTAACATCTATCAAAATTGTATTCAACTTCTGATCATCATTTGTGGCATCTAACACATTTTCTGGTACAAGAGGATCCAGATAATAAGATTCATCAGAGTCTCCTGTTGTTGACTGATGAGGACCGTTCGGAGCAGCTAGACTCAGTATAGTGCACGATTTGTTTCCTGTTTCCTTGTGAGAGGGCACTGTAATTAATTTATGAGCATTTAATGAAAGATCTTCCTGTGAGCTGGGTACATCACTGTCTGTACACGTTTCAGGAATAGTGGGATTTGAACCCACAACAGGGCATGATTCTGAACTGGACATTCCCGGATCGCTAGACGGGTTATGAGCGACTGCCTCATTTGCATTACTGATCATAAGGGATTCATAGAGGCTTTTGTTTTCATCTTCATATGTCCTGCAGTCATTCTCGAGTTCAGAATGTAAGTGAGAAATGAATTCATCAATTTCTTTCACATCTCCGAAACATGGGAGATTTAGCAGTCGCGTGCGCATATAGTCCAAAACATTCAACTGGCTTTCTCTGAAACGCTGCTGCTGGCGATCTAGTAGTAGCTGCAATTGATCGGGAAGGATATTCATTTTCTGAGTCAGCAGGGTAATGAGAAATACTGTAATCAACTAACAACCAATGACTCCCAAGGACGCCAATGACAAATCTGGATACTGATTGGTCAAAATAGATAGGCTGAATCTTGTCCAATTACAGGGTTCAAAATCTTCTCTACCCCGTCGCCAATTGTTGTAACGAGTGTGTGTGACTGCAGGTTATGATACGCAGAGTTTATTTATCGATCGCGATCTGTGACAGTGAACACGTAAACATGTAAGGATGACCTAGTGCCCTGATTGGCCCTGCCTCGCTATCTGTCCCCAGCCAGTTGAGTCAAGAACAAAAGTCACAGCCTCGGAGTTATGAATCATTATATTTCAAACATACTTTGTTTATATACTAGTCAAGCAGACCACAACGTACCATAAAATAGAAAATAACATTGTACAATATTGGCCAACAGGAAAATAACACGTTAAATAAATATCGACCAATGCAAAATGTACATTTAAGGTCCAAGGACACCAATGGACTTAACATGATAATTATTGGTCTATTTTTCCCGACTATCCTAACAGTTTGTAGATAATTCGAATCACGAATTCCCACTAACTGATAAGGGACTGAATTTCTTCTTCTTAGATTTTAAAAATGTATATTACGTCAGTTTAATTGAAATTAGACAATAAGTTATCGATTAAATTGAATTGGGGTGACTGTATGCAGATATTTTGGTCAAAGATGGAATTAGAACCAACTAGATTTCACATTTTATGAAATGTCAGCGTGAAGTTTTGTGCAGGTCATCCAGTGATGCTTATGTTTAACGTTATTCAGCTCAAGACTGCGCGACCACCTTGCATTGCTTGTGCAAGACAGATGTCTCATATCTAGACCGGCTGAACTTTATTGGTTTCGGTTTCTCACTAAAACTCCAGGAGTGACATCTTGTGACTAGTCACTGATGAGTAGGTGATTATCGTGACTTAATCAAATTAAATATTCACACTGTTGGATTCTGAATCAGTGATCTAGGGACTAAATGTCAGTTCGTGAGATTGGTGGTGCTGGGTTTAATTCTCAGATGCAAAGTCGTGGGTAGGCTATTACGAGAAGTGTTATATTGAAGTGAAACACTTGTTTAATATCCCCTGATTTACAGTGCTAGTTTAACTAGTATCAATTAATGATTGAAACTATGACTGATCTTTGGATACATGAAATGATGCTCATTTTACTCAACAATGTTCCAACCTATATTTTAAATAGTTATGCTTATTACTCACTTCACGATAGATCAAGAGAATAAGTATTTATATTAAAGTATAATTCTACATACACGTAAGATACCTTAGTTTTGACAAATTTAATAACGTAAAGTAAGTTTTGTTTGAGATATGAGCACTATCAATGTATTGTTCAAGTTTTAACAGATTCTTATAGACATGGTTTAGTTTAATTCACTAATGAGTTGGATTTTTTTAGTAGTTGAATTCATGAGTCAATTGAAGCTAGACCACCATGGAAAATCTAGAAGCACTAGACGGCCATTTCTTCCTAGCACGGAACTCCTCAGTAGTGCGCACCCACGATCCCGCCTTTCGTGGACTGGTTGAAGTTAGACATTAACACTGTTGAGTGCCCGGCTCAGCAGTCTAGAGGTTAAGCACTCGCGCGCGGGATCGGTAGGTCCTGAGTTCGGATCTCACGAGGCAGGATCGTGGATGCGCAATGCTGTGGAGTCCGACAATAGGATGAAACAGCCTTCCAGTGCTTCCAGACTTCCCATGGTGGTCTAGCTTCAATTGATTTATGAATTCAGCTACAAAATACCACAATATCCACAAAACTTTGGATGTTTATTAAGTAATTTATAATATTTTAAGACATATAATCAATTGTAACTTTGTTATTTAGGACTGATAAACAATACATGAGAATTGAATAGTAGTGCCTGTATACTACTGACGGGACTATTAATATGGTCCAATTTAAATTTCTCAACTGGAGGTAGTATTTATTAAAAATAGTCTATCATTTACGGAGTATTCTTCTTCTTTTCAAGCTACCAATATAGTTTGCGAATTTCTGAAGGAAATGTATTTGTTATTAAGCAAACAGTAAATGGTACATGTTTTATTAATATTGTGGTATATGCTACTTATGTCAACAGGGATAAGTAGTATGTAACATCAATTGGAAATGAAAAACCTATCAGTAGAAGGCTAAGAAGATCGAGTGGAAGAGAATAGAAGGGAAAAAAGAAAAGAACTGTGGACTAGAATAAGTGTACAGAATATGAAGAACAAATGATGTAGGATTTGCAAATGAAGTACTGAATGTATGGTTTTCATATTTGATGAAAGAAATCTGTAATTTTGTATTCAAATACAATTGGTTGTTTCCACCTGTATTTTCGTTTACAACAATATGACCAAATGGTAATTTTCTGTGCCTTATCTACTTACCAGAACAAACTAATTCTATGCGATGAATATTTATGGCTTGAGTATCCTGATCATTATTACTCGTTAAAGTCATAAAAAAGAAATCTAATTCTAATTTTTTTTAATCTTAGAGTCCTAGAATTAATTAATTATATGTCTGACCGGTACAGCCAACATTGAACTAATACAGGCTAAACTCTTATCAGTCCATTATTCTCAAGCTCTTCTTCAAAACAAAGTCATTGATCAGTTTCTTATATACTCAATTTAATCATGATTTAAAATTCATACAATAATCTGGCATGAACTCTTAACCACACATTAGCATAATCACGAAATTACAAAGAACAGCATAATTACATCAGAAATAGAGGAGGAAAACATTAACTATAGTTAAGGGAAGTTACAACACACAACAACAATTCATGTTACAAGAATGTTTGCAGGCAGAAGAATACAAATACATACTAATTTAAGTAATTAATAGTTAGAGAGAATTAAAATATACTGGTTGAAATCATGAGTCAATTGAAGCTAGAATACCATGGAAAACCTGGAAGCACTGGACGGTCGTTTCGTCCTAGTATGGGACTCCTCAGAAGTGTGCATCCATCGTTACCAGTGGAGTTCAACCAGGTCTGTTGTAAGATAGGAACTCACTGAAGACAATGGTGTACGGTGGCACAACTTCTTGGATTGGTTGAAATTAGACATTAACACCGTTGGATGCCGGCCAGCTCAGTGGTCTAGTTGGTTAAGCACCTGGAGCGAGACTGTTAGGTCCTGTGTTCGAACCCCGCGCGTGGCGGGATCGTGGATGCGCATTGCTGAGGAGTCCCACAATAGGACAGAACGGCCGTCCAGTGCTTCCAGGTTTTCCATGGTGGTCTAACTTCAATTCACTCATGATTTCAATCAGTGAAATTTCTAAAAATCTCCACAAAACCCATTCTGATAATTAAAATATAAACAATAATTTCAAGTAGGAGGATAGTTTCAATAATTCAACTATCCTAATAACAATGATTTTAATGAAAAACTATTGATCAGTCAAAAAATGATTTTAAAACGGCTTTTCAACAATTCTCTAATATTAATAATAATAATCAATATTTTTTGATAACACAGATACTCCAGTTATCACTGCTTTGTACAATACTTGATTGTAATGATCTTCAACTATTTTGTAAGTAAATTATCTTGTGAAGGGAAGAAGCAAGGTACAGAACAATATGTTTATGAAAGAATCTGAGACAATGAATAACTAGGCGATAGATTATGTAAATAAAATAAACTGACATTTAATGTACTGAAAGGAATCGATCACAATAAGCAGTCATGTCTAAAGCCCCTAAATGCCGAGAATCGGGAGAGTTGGCTCTCCTTTACGAAATGCTCTCACATTGCCACTCGCATACAACCACGGTCAGGGAAGTCATACTCACTGCCTTCTCTCACTAGGGGTGTTGTTTACAATATTGAGAGGACAAAAAGTGAATGTCTGGCTCTTTAACCGGGTTGGTGGATACGAGGAGTCCACAGATACGAGTTGGAAAACACTGATTCCAAACCAATGTTGCACATGGGCTCCAGGATCCTAGGGAAACAAATGGCGTATTAACCTATTGTTGGTCATCGGCTACCGTGGAACTTTATCTCCTTACGTTGCTTCACTGCCTTGTGGATTAGACCTTTACGTCAAGGGCTAGATGTGTGGTCCACTAAGAAAACCATTTGCCAGTATACCAGTCCTCACATAAATCGAATAATTTATGTGGTTCATATCTGTTTGGTACATCCTTGTACCAATGTTTACGTGTTTAAATAAAATAAATAAATGACAGCTAAAAGTCAAGTTAATAACTCAGATTTAACAGATTTATTGCTAAAATATTTGTCAAATAAGCCTCAAATTTAATTAACTATAAGCATTTACTTCTGTGTAATATCCCAGAGTGAACATCAACCCTGAGGTGCAGGTACATCAGGCTGACGAGTCCCAAATATGATGAAACGTGTGTCCTAGATTCCACTACTAGCCACTATCCATTTTTACTTAGAATGCTTGCGAATTAAGGCAATATCATGGCATTCCACACAGGATTCATATATGCGAATAAGAGGCTGGTCCATTGCAATGCTAAACATCAATGGGAAGATTCAAGTAAAACAATACCAAATGAATTTAATATAACAATGTTTTCTTCTATAAACATACATAAGAAATTGAAATAAATAATCATATAGAATGACATTAGAATTAGCTATTTCTTATTCATGTAATCAGAATCACTTGTCACTTTCATAAATTATGCAACTTATAAAATACTAAGTTTGTAGTTACAGTTAAAATAGCAATTGTAAGTAAGTAAATTTATGTGAAAAAGATAATTAGCTAATAGAATAGGAAGATAAAAAGCAATCACTAGGTAAGAAACAATGAAACAATCTAAGAGATCATGCATATATATATCATAGAGGAACGAAAGACAACATGATCATTGAAAGAAACAACATTAAAAATGCATTATTTACAACTGTTACTACCGAGAATTGTTGTAGTCGTGTTTTTACATGCGAGAGAGAGAGGAAGAGAGAGCAGATGTGTGTGTGTATATATATGTATGACCATAAAGGATAACACAATATATATACATAAATTATAAAATACGCATTAAAAAAGCATTTCATTGATAAGGCTGGAAAGTTTTAATCATTTCATAATGTTGATAGAATGCTAAAATAAGATTTGATAAAATTTATGTTAGCAGTGTTGAAATAGAAGTAGAAAGAAAGTTATGAAATAGTCAATGTATGGTTGTGGATTGAGATTACAAACCGCCTAATTTTAGACCTCTGTTGAGAACCATGAACTACTTAATAACCATTTCGTCCTAGTATGAGACTCCTCAGCAGCGTGCA